TCTTCTCCCAGAGAACCATGCCCAGTTGTTTCAGTTTCACATGAAAAGGATTCAAGGTCCTTCACCAACCTAGTTACCCTTCTTTGGACACTTTCCAGCTTATCAATGAAGGGGGTGGGGGAGAGCCATTTCATAAGAACTGACAAGATTCAATGACCGATTGAATATGACAGGGGAAAGCAATGGGAAAATTAAAGACAGGAGGATGATGATGAGCCTGTTAAAACAAAGGAAAGACAAGAGAAGCAAAAGGGTTTTGTTTGGGGGGTGGGGTTGGGGGAAAGGGCAGGGAAGATGAGCTTCACTTGGGACTTGATGAGATGCAGGTGCTGATAACACATGGCATAAGTAGCATTTTCTTTTCTTTCTTCTTAAGGTGAGGCAATTGGGGTTAAGTGACTTGCCCAGAGTCACACAGCTAGTGAATGTTATGTGTCTGAGGCCAGATTTAAACTCATGTCCTCCTGACTCCAGGACTGGTGCTCTATCCACTGTGCCACCTAGCTGCCCTTATAAGTAGCATTTTCAAAAGACTAGTCCGACAACTATATACGGGATGGGTCAGCAGATGGACTGAAGACAAAAAGTTCAGCTAGCGCCAATTACTGCAGTAATCACAGTCTGAGGGTGATGGAGAATTACAGTAGTAGAGGGTACAGAGAGAAAAAGATAAACCTGAGAGCTCTAGAAAAGGTACTTCTAGACTCTAGAATCTAGAGGTTTTGATGACAGACTGGACACAGAACAATAGGGCCTTCAGGCCTATTTGAGTCCCAGTGAAAAGTCATTTATGTCTACAGACCAGAATGTTGTACCCACATCAAAAAGCCCAACCTAACCCAGCCCATGGTCTCTCTTAGTTGGCCACCAGGCCCAGTAAATGCACAGTTGAGCATCGATACATTACTCTTAGCTCTGCCCTTTGTTATAGCCCTCCTGCACTTAAAAGACCATCAAATATTTGCTGCCCAGTTATCATGTTCTCTGTCAGTCTTCTCTTTTCTAGGTTAAACACACCCAGTTCCTTCAACAAACCCTCATATTGCATAGAGTCAAGACCATTTGCTCTCCTTGTCCTCCTGTCCTTAGTAAACCATGGCAACCAGAGCAGAACAGAGTACTGCAGATGAGGTCTGACAAGGTTGGAGTATAGTGGGATTATGACCTCCTTATTCCTAAAACAATTCCTTTATTAACTGAACCCAGGATTGATTACATTAGTTTTATTTTGGCTTCCATACCATGCTGCTGACTCATGTTGAGCTGGAAGTCCACTAAAACTCTCAAAATTTTTTAAGAAAATTATTGTCTTATTGCCAGTATTCCCTCACCCATCTTATACTTGAGCATAAAACAAAACACAACTTCCCAAGTTCATATTTACTCCTACTGAATTTCATCTTATTATATTCAGCCCAACACTATAGTCTGTCTTTTGGATCATCCAGAGTGGTAGCTCTCCCTCCCCAATTTGTGTCATGTGAAAATATCATCTATCCAAGTTATTGGTAAAATTGTTGAAAAGCCCAGAGCCAAACACAGATCCCTATGATACCTTACTGGAGCCCTCCTACCAAGGAGGTCAATGACACTGAACTGTTAACAACTATTTATTGTTCTGACCACACAACCAATTCTGAATTCATCTAACTGTATCATCTACTCAATACCTCTCCATATTCTCCTTAAGAATAGTATGACAGAACTTATCCAAAAGATTGTCAAAATCTAGGTAAACAATATCCCTCACATAGCCCTCAACTACTGCCTTACTAATCCTTTCAAAAAAGGAAATGAGGTTAGAATGGCATGACCTGTTCTTGATAAAGGCATTCTTGGCTTTTTGAAATCACAACTTGATTTGCTAGATGTTCAACAACCATCTCTTACATGAGCTGTCCTAGAATATTCCCAGGAACTGAAGTCAAGATCACTGCCCTAAACTTTATAGACTCTCTTCCTTTTCTTCAAAACTTGGGACAAATTTGTCCTCCTCCAATCTTGTGGTACCTCCCCCATTTTCCGTGACCTTTCAAATATCACTGACAGCAATAGCACCTGTCGGTTCTTGTTGTCCCCAAGTTTTTCTGGACCATGTTACTTTGAAACCATCAAGGGCAGCTAGATACTTTCTTATTATCTATTTATTGTCTTGAGCATCAAACTTCCTATTTTTTCGGTCATTTTAAATATAAAGGTCATTGTCTTTGGCAGAGAAAACAGAAGCAAAATAAGAAATCAGCGGCTTTATCTTCACTCCGTTATTGGTTGTCGTCATCCCATGCAACCCCCCAAAAAGTCTATCCCTTCTTCGATCCTGTTTTTTCTGCCAACATTGCTTTCCTGACACTGTCGTTATGGGACCATGCCATACTCTTATATTCATTCACTAGCACTTGACCTTTGCTTCCACTTTTTGTACATTTCTTTTTTTTTTTTAAATCCAAGTCACTACTTGAGTTTCGTGTGTATCCACATTGTTCTCTGTGGACAGATGCCATTTTTCCTCCTTCCTATAATCCCTGAACCAACTTTCCCAATCCATTCCACTTAATGGTCACTATGTTTATGGCAACCATTTCTGACCATTTCTATCCCTCATCTGTAAAACAGTGATAGTGACAATGGTTCTCTAACTATCATGCCAGCATGGCACAAAGCTATACCACAGATCTAAGGAATCTGAGAAATGAACAAAAGGGATACCCTTGAGGTTCTTATCACCCTAGGGCTTTAATAAATGAGTGAAAGTGGAGAAAACATGTAGAAAGACACCTCCCCCTCAAGAATCTAGAAGTCTACTGTCCTTACACCAGTCCCAGACACATAAATACTTTCCTTGCTGATATTTCAAAGTTCGTGGGGGAGTTACATAAAACAACTAGTCCATCACCAAGTAGAAACCCTAGCGTAGGTGTTCTAAATAAGTGGGTAAAGAAAGTCACTCCGTTAGAGAGGTCTCCACCCCCTTCAACCTTGCCCCCCTTACCAATACACATTCATCACCGAAAAGGGAAATATTTACAAAAGTTAGTTTAGTTATGTTTAAATATTATGTTTAGCTGTCTGGAGACCATGTTCTCAAGATTTATATAAGAAATCAAGGATTAAACTTCACAACAATTAGAAAACCACACTGCTCAAAATCAAAGACTTAGTTAACGGACATTAAAATAGTTTTACTGCTGGTGCTAAGCTGCAGTGACTCCATTACTTCCCAACACCTGGGGCTCAAACCTTCTGAACTCTCATGTAAACAAAACGGGAAACTCCAAGGGCTCCAGGGGTAACAAGGTACCACCTCGGGCCCTGGCCTTTTGGGTGAAAAATGTGGAAAATGCCTGAGGACGCTTTGAAGTGGCTCTGAGAGAAGCAAAAGCAGGGAAAAGCCTCTTTACTGGGGTAAGTTTGTTTAGGAGAAAGTAAGCAAGTTGTCAGGGTGAAAGTTGACAATGTTGATTCCAACAGTTTGAACCGGGAATAAACATCCAAGGGGATTATGTTACTGAAAATTGGAAAAGACTCCATTGAAGCCAATAGACCATGCTTGCGTTTTCAAAGATAATGCGTCCTTTAGCCACATTCAAGGATAACAGGGTGAGAGCTAGGGTGTCTTACCCTGAACTCTCTTCTGTAATATACTCAACGACTCCAGGCTCTGACACCTTCATTTGGTCAAAAACATAAAAGTTAGACCAGGGAAGGAAGCAAAGAATCACACTGTTCTTAACTACCTTGATGATACCAATCAATCTGTTGTTTTTCTGACGCAGCCCGTCAGAGACTGGCAAAAATTGGTATCCCCTCCAACACACTCATACGTGGTATGCTAGAGGGAACTCAGGGAGTTTTGAGCACTCTCAACAGCCAACCATTTGCATACACCAAATTATCATTTATGTTCCCAACTCTTGTCAACCTAACACAGGGAGAAGGAGATTGTGGTAGTGTCTGTAATCCCAATTTAAAGGCGCCTTTGGGTCCAGCTTTCATTTCAGCCTTTCGGTTTTCTCACCAGGTTGAAAATGGAAGACACTGAGCTTTTTCAAAATGGAAAACAATGTGTTATCACAAGGAGATTCCTGGAAAAAATGTCAGGGAGCCTACAATGGAACGAAAGCCTTTTTTTTTCCCATTTGGGTTTGGAGTGCAAAAAAATGTAATTTCTCATGGCTTGGCCAACTTTTTTTTTAAATCTCCACAAACAAGGTAAACACACACACTCTGAGTTTGTTAGACTTTATTTGGGTCAAGAAAAGGCAGGCCTGTCTTGTTTCCCTCAAGAGAAACAAGGTGACTCCGATGATTTGCTGCTTCTATCTAAAATCCTTAACTACTCTTGAGAATTCTCACATCATTTTCTGCTGTTGTAGCGTCACAAATACCTTAAGACAAAGGCTCCCAGATTCATCCTGTCTGCGTACCAGCAAAGTTTCTTGGCAGCCCTAGAAATACTGCTGCTCATTCTATCTCAGGGATCTTCTCTGCTAAAATCACCATCCATCTTTCATTTTCCTATTAAAACTCATACAAGGACATGAGGGATGGGGTCCATTCTCAATGCCTGTGGGCTCCATTAGAGAAAATAAAATTCCCCAGAGAATGCAACCCCCACCAGGAATAAAACATTCTCAACTCTGCCCACAGGTCATTATCAATAGCCACTTTTTTAAGGATACCAAATTTAGTAATTCTTTCAAATCACACATACATATTTAGCGAGTCATATTTTTACAAACCTACATTAGCTTCTCATTGATTCTGACATTTGAAAATATACATGCAGAATAGTCTACGATCTTTGGCCAAAAATGTACATTCCAGCCACATGGAATATTTGCCATAGGAAAACAAAAGTCATTGCAACTAAATAAAGGATAGAACTGGCAAAAACAAAGTTCAGCAGGATACCACTCTGCTGAATCCAAAACTTCAGACTGTTAACTGATGTAAGCCAGGAACTCGCTGTGGTGGGGGTCAGCGGACCTCAGCAGCCTTACCTGTTAATATGAGGTTACTGTATGTGTTGGAGAATTGCTCCTTGAGGAGAACCAAGTGCATCTGAGCCGCCTTCTCCCTCTGAAGCTCCAACATTACATCTGGGTGCTGAGCGATCTTGCAGCCTTTCTGCTTATCCAAGGCAACATCACTCCGAACGATGTCTGCAAGAAGGAAAAGAGAGGGTGCGCAACAAAAATGAAACCCAATTCTACCAAAGAGCAATTCATTTAGTTAACAGAATGAGAGCCGAAAGTCCTAAGGCAGAAAGTGCTATGAGCCACTGGGTGAAAAGAGCTCCAGTGGCCTGCACTCCCCACCAAGAGCTATGTGACATCACATTATGGCTCTGCTATTGCTTCTGACTCTGGTGTGTCCTGCCTTGGGCCAAAGGTTATTAGAGATGGAACAGACTAAGCTGAGACATTATGAGCTTCAAAAGGTTAAGACAGCAATAGGGTTCTAAGACCCAGAATCCATGCCAGAGTTTGCCAGGACTAGGAAGGACTGAACAGCCTCATCAGCTATGCCACATTTGGTAATGAACTTGGGAAAGGGAATGCTTTGTAGTTACCTCTAAGCCCACTCTCCTACTCTCCAGGGGCAGAGGTGGTGTAAGGTCGTGTCATCTCTCTTTCTTTTTTGGCAGGGAAAGGAGGGGAGTAGACATATTTATATTTCTGTTCTTGCTATATCTCTCGGCAAATATCCTTATAGTAAAAGCGAATTGATGTCAATTGGTTAAATGAAAATAGAGTGCTCATCACTGTGTTAATTGATGCTATAGAGGAGATTCTAACTGTATCTTCAGATAACAATACATAAATTTCATCGAATCTCAATGGAGATTTGGGAAGAACCTTAACAACCATCTCATCCAAAGTATACGTAAAAGGAATTCCATCATAACATATCTGACATCTAGCCTTTCATGAAGACCTACAAGCAGAAAAGCATACCACTTAACAAGGTGGTCCATTCCACTCTTGAACAATTCTAATGTTAATGAAATCCTTCCTAATATCAAGCTTAAACTGGCCTCTCAGCAACTTTGGCCCATTACTTCTACACCAAAAAAAAAAACAAAACTCCCAAATCTAGTCCTCCTTCACAACAGCCCTTCCAATATTGTGTTCTCTCTGCATCTTCTCTTCTCTAGACTAAACTGGTCTAATTCACTCAAGTGACCTTCATATGACAATGGGCTCAAGGCCTTTCACCATCCTTGTTGCCTACCTTTGGACACTCTCCAGCTTTTCCATGTCCTTCTTAAACTATGGCACCCAGAGCTAAACTCAATACTCCCAACAAGGGGAGAGTGAAACAAAACAATTAGAAGCTGAGCTATTCCTGGAAGCTAAGCTTCTCTTAATGCAGCTCAAGATGGTTCTAGATAGATAGACAGACAGACAGACAGATAGATGTGTATATGGATATGTGTATACTATATATATATATATATATATATATATATATATATATAATATATATACACATACACATATACATATACATATATACACAAACATATAAATATACATACATATATGGGGATACAGTTACATCCCATTGTTTACCTCTACAGAGCATGTAGTCTACCAAAATCCTCAGATCATTTTTGGAACTGCCATCTAACTATTTTTTACTTGGGAGATTGATTTTTTGGTACCTGAGCATAAGACTTTACATTTATCCCTAATGAACTTCATTGCACTAGACTTAGCCCAATTCTGTAGCCTGTCATGATGCTTTTGGATCCTGACTGTCGTCCAGTGTGTTAACTATACCTCCCAGCTTTGTATCATCTCATTTGAAAATCTAATGAGCATGCCATTTTTGCCTTTATTTAGACCATGAGTAAAAATGCCAAAAAGCACAGGGACAAGCACTGATCCAGAGGGGAAGACCCACTGCGAATCTCTGCCGCACTGATACTGACATTTTAATCAGATCTGAACAGAATTAGAACTCTAAAAGTTTCACCCACCCAGTGTCATTTTTGGCAAATATCTCTGATTGTTTCCAATATTCTTCCTTACATTTTATTTGCTTGTCTCTCTCAGTCATTTCATTTCAGTTTCTTGCTCCTCAACTCACTTTCATGGTTTACTCAATTCATAGGGACATGTTGTTTCATCGCTCATGTTGTTCTACATGGAAAATTCATCGTGTGAGTACGTGTGCTGCTGACGTCATGTCTCCAGCCATCTGTTGTCTGTGCTAGTTGAGAACTGCAACATGTTTGACCCAAGACATGAGGACTGTGTTCAGACCCTGTGCCTCAGCTGTCCTGTGGGTTGTCTCCATTGGGTCTTCCCTACTATCTTCCAGGTGCCTCGATGGTGAAGCAGTACTCAAACTGATTCGATTTCACTCTTTCAATAGAGGTCATCTGTGGGTCAGTGATGAGAGTCAGAAGTTCTGGAGTCGCTTTGCAAATTCGCCTCTTTCACAATTATTTTCCCATTAAGGGCAAGCTGCATCTTATGCTTCAGTTTAATTTCACTCAAAGCAGATGTACAATACAGAATTGTAAAAAATAGCCTCTTCTATAAAGAAACGCCCAACTAGGATGCTTCCCATCAAGTAGGGGACCTTTTGTACCCAAAAGTTATTGTCTTCTCAGTACTTATTTTTGCAACCAAAAAACCAAGGAATTCAGCTGATTCATGTGGGAACAAATGATAGACTGGAAAAAAATCTGGAATGTATTTCTAGTGACTTTGAAGTTCTGGGTAGGAAACTGAAGGGCTTGGGACACAGGTGGTATTTTCATCTCTTCGTCCTGTTGACAGTCCTGGCTTGGGAAGAGAAAGATTATAGAAAGTGAATGACTGACTGTGGAGGGTATTAGCAAGGAAATGGTTTCCTAGATCACTTCCTACAATACTAAAAAGCCAGGCTCCTACTGAGGGTCCAAGGCTGGAAAGAATGTGTTTCGCTGGACACTTACTATTTGACTGAAAGAGTGCTCAGATGAATTCTGAGGCAATGGGTGGGAAGAAACTAATCCCAGAACCAGCGACTGTAGAAGACAGCATGGGGGACCCAGAAAGAACAGCAGAGTAGAGAAGGTGTCCAGTGACGTCAGCAGGAGATAATAAGGAAGCTGGCTGAGAATATCTACGATGGCCAAATTTTTGTTCACTCCTGAGATTCTTTTATTGACATGGGGAGCTTCTAGTGAGGAAACTCCCTTAAGTGATTTTGCTGTTGTTGTTTATGAGTTGTTTCAGTGGGGTCCAACTCTCTGTGACCCTATTTGGGATCTTCTTCACAACTGGACTTGTTTGCCATTTCCTTCTCCATCTCCTTTCACAGGTGAGGAAACTGAGACAAACAGGGTTAACTGACTTGCCCAGGGTCTGTGTTTGAGGCCGTGTTTGAACTCATGAGTCTTCCTGATTCCAAGTCTAGTGCTCTATTTATTGTGCTACCTAGCTGCCCCCTTAACTAATACAGATCAATAATTGTTCTGCCAATTATAATCTTAGACATTTGCCATGGACCCTGTGAGGGTAAGTGACTTATCTAGCCAGTCTGTGTCAGAGGAAGGACTTGAACCCAGGTCTTCCTAACTCTAGGCCCACCTTTATCCCCTATGCTATGCTGCCCCACCAGATATACATATATAACACAGGTTTAAAAAAAAATGAATTTGAATATTTTAAAACAAGACAGTTTAAAATTTTTTCCTATGCTTCACTGACACCTGATGGCTGCTATACATCAACTGAAATTTATTTTGTTCAAAAGAAATAGATCTAATAGAAAAGGAAACATACATACATATATATATATATATATATATATATATATATATATATATATATTCTATATATTCTACATATATATATATTCTACATATATATATATGTACATACACACACACATATATATACACACCTATGTAGAAACCTATGAACCCAAGAATGGAAGCATGGGTAAGAGCATATGGGTGAGAATAATAGGAGAAACCAGAATTATATTATTCTGGGGGTAGAATATAAATCACCTTGTCAGATAAAATATATGGATGATCATCTCCTAGTACACAAAACTGAAATGAAGACTAGCTAAGGCATTTTTAAGAAATTAACGTACCCTGACATTTGATAGATGTGTTGACTCTGATGAAAGGAGATCCCTACTGTACTCTCCTCAAATTTCTCATAGCACTTTGCTTGGATCTCTCCTCTGACTTTATGTCCCCCTTCCTCACATCAGAATTAGCCATGTACTTGATCTTCACCCAATTAAATTACAAGTTCCTTGAACTCTAGACCTGTATCATATCTTTCTTTGTATCATTAGCTCCTAACACAGTGCCTGACATAAACAGGCATGTAGTAAATGTTCGCTGAATTGAACTGAATTGCTGCAAAATTTTGCCTGTCAGAAAGTAAAGGAAGCAATATATTTAACTGCCAGATCTAATTCTCACCAACAAGGAAAAACTAGTCTATCACAACTGAGTCTTGATACTAAAACCTTAGGAGGAAATATTCTAGAGCTCAAAATATCAAAGAAAGGGAGCACTAGACATGTTTTCTAGATTTTAGAAAAAGTTTCAAAATGATTCCAGAAGGGAAAAATGGTACTATTCCATCCTAGGGGACTCTAAAAGAGAATACAGATCACAAAGGACGCAAAGTGCTGGAAGCAGCTGGAGTGTGACGCCAAACATACTGAATTTGGGGTGGAAGACCCAGGATCAAATCTTGAATCTGCTGCTTTGGACTCATGAGACCAAGGGCTGTCATTTACCTTCTCTGGGACTCAGTTTCCTCATCTGTAAAATAAGGGTATTGAGCAAAACAATCTCTAAGTTCCCTCCCACTTCTAAATCCTGTGAAGTGACATTATGACAAGATGATGACAAACAGCCCCAATGAAGAAGAATGATAGTGGGGACAGGATTAGATAATAAACAACACCTTTCTGGCTGCGCAGAGAGCTCTCTGATGAGTTCAAATTTCAAAAAATAATATTAAAAGATAGAAGGAAACAGGGATATGCTAGAGTTAGCCGGAGAGCCAGTTGTTAAATTTTCAGTGTAAGCATTTATACCTTTGAAATCAGCAAACACTACAAATTAGGACGTGATTTATCATTTTCTTGATCACCAAGACTTAAGAAAGTGATGGAGAAAAATGTTAATAAT